ATTGTACATGCATTTTTCCAGACTGAACATGTGACCGTCCTCGACCAATGAAATTACAGTATCCAAGCACATGATATAACAAATTGTATTGTGACCTTTTTGTGATATGTACTGTGTTTTATCTCAAAGAAATAGCAGTGTTACATCCGTAGTCAACAGAACACAACAAGCTGTAACAAGCATCAAATTTCACAGATACTAGATGTGATCTTAACATTACCAAACAACATCATTGACCCCAAAACCTCTCCATAATAGTAGCATTTTTGTTGTTTTGTGACTGTTTTCTCCAGAGCGCTGTAGTTTATGGGCAAGTGATCTCAGTAACGTTATGATCAACAACCAAGAGCTTGAACCAGATGCAGAGGGGAAAGTATACATTCCTCATGACACCGATGTCATCTTCAGTTGCAAAAGAGGATATGAACTAACAAATAACAATAGATACACTCCTCAGTGTTGGATGGGAGAGCTTTTGTTTTACACTCAGCTTCCATCCTGCCATGCAGGCATGGGCGTCGCCAGGATTTTTTCTAGAGGGGGGCAATTTTTTTTTTTGCCCAAAAATGCTTGTATTTCTCAACACATTCTCGATTTATCAGTTTTAGAGGGGGGCAGGGACATTTTGCCCCCCCCCCCAACTCATTAAAGTTACACCACTTTGTCTTCGCGCCTCTTTTTCTTTTCTTTTCTTTTTCTTCCTTTTTTTTTTTTTTTTTTTGTGCTTTTCCAGGGGGGGGGGGGCAAGTGCCCCCCCTTGCCCCCCCCCCCCTCGCGACGCCCATGCATGCAGGTAAACACAACAAAAAGAATTGTTACTTTGTATCAGATAATTTTTTAACAATCTTTATCGTCCCCTTCCGAGTACATTTTTGAATAATCAAATGACTGAATTATATTTTGCCCTGACTGCTGAGTTGCCTTGATAATGACATGTACATGTACAAGGTGTATTTCATTACAGATAAGTAGTCGCCTCTGTTAACCTACATTTGCATGTCAGTGTGGGTCAGTGCACAAGTGTAAAAGTTGGTTAAACCACACCCTCCTATTCCCATGCATGTCCCACAAAACACACTGAAACACAAAGAACAGCAAGTATTACCAAAGTGAACCAATGTGAACTCTGTTTTTGCATTTAATCGTGTAATTTGTGCTTAGATATTTTTTCCATGCTTTTTTAAAATAGTGACAGTCATTTTTACTTCTCTGACATTGAAACGGATATGAAACTTTGTGTTAAAAATGGCACTGTCCTCTTATGTCATCAAATGTCGAGAAATGTCGTCTCCTTACCTTATGTCATCAAATGTCGAGAAATGTCCTCTCCATTTAAGGAACAATTCAGAAACGGAGTTCTGGTGGGGGGAAGAAACCTGAAGTAGCAGTAGACGATTCGACATGAGATGGGTATTGCCTGTCCATTCATTGTTATCAATGGAGTGAGTATTACGCATCAACTGGTAGTGCTTCAAGTCAGTACGACTTGGGATAATAATATATGTCTGTGAAGTAGTGTCTCTCTGGGATAATATCATCCGCACAGTGAAGTCGGTAGGGCTTAGGACTTAGGATAGTTTCCTCTCTTGCTGAAGTGGGGTCTCTTTAACATAATATTATCCCAGCAATGGAGTCAGTAGGGCGTGGGATAATATTATCTTTTCATGCAGTGGGGTCTATCTGGGATAATATTATCCCAGCAGTGAAGTCGGTAGTGATTGGGATAATATTATCTCTTTATGAAGCGGGGTCTCTCTGGGATAATATTATCCCAGCAATGAGGTGAGCAGGGCTTGGGATAATATTATCTCTTGATGCAGTGGGGTCTCTCTGGGATAATATTATCCGCGTAGTGAAGACAGTAGGGCTTGGGATAATATTATCTCTTGAGGAAGTGGGGTTTCTCTTGGATAATATTATCCCAGCAATGAACTAATGAGCAGGGCTTGGGGTAATATTATCTCGTGATGCAGTGGTATTCCTCTTGGATAATATCCAAGCAATAAAGTCAGCAGGGCTTGGGATAATATTATCTCGTGATGCAGTGTTGTTCCTCTGGGATAATATTATCCCAGCATGGAAGTCAGCAGGGCATGGGATAATATTATCTCGTGATGCAGTGGGGTTTCTCTGGGATAATATTATCCCACCAATGTGAGCAGGGCATGGGATAATATTATCTCTTGATGCAGTGAGGTCTCTCTGCGATAATATTATCCCAGCAGTGAAGTCAGTAGGGCTTGGGATAATATTATCACAGGAATGAAGTCAGCAGGGCTTGGGATAATATTATCTCGTGATGCAGTGGGGTTTCACTGGGATAATATTATCCCAGCAATGAAGTCCGTAGGGCTTAGGATAATATTATCTCTCGATGCAGTGGTGTTTTTTTTCAGTACAGTTAGTACTGCTTGGGAAGTTATCTCTCCAGGAAGTAGGGTCTGTCGGTCCATAGTTATATCATCAAGTTGACACCTACAGTAAACCACTACACCTTGTGAGTTCTTTCACAAATAAGCCTCATGATTCAATTTGAGATTAAACTTCATACAATTCAATTATTCAAATAAAGAAGGGATCATGACACAAATTGGCATTTGTATCAGTCTAATGGCATATTTTTTTGTAAATGCAGTATTTAGCAGTTATTCATATCTGACCTCCTATTATCAAAAAAATGTTGGGATTATCCTCACCAAATTTCACTGGTTTCCATTTCAGTCAAGTGCATATGTACATGCCTACATGTACACATTTAAGCGCATGGTCAGTCAGACACACATTACTACGGCTGCATGGCATCAGCTTTTAACGTGTTTGGCGCATCTAGGTATTTAGAAAAGCTGTAAAATCCTACATGTTTACAAGAATATAATTATCATTGGGTTAAAGATGTTTAAGTACATGTAGCAGTGCACAGATGGATACAAAACAGATCAGATGTCACTGTATAAGAACAGCTCAGCAATTTATTTCCCTATAAAAATATCAAAATTATACAATAGCATAAAAAATCTGACAAAGGTTGAATATTGACATTTGTGTTACGGTCTCTCATTTTGTACATGACATTTAAAAATATATGTAAAAAGGGCATTTTTTTGTTTGAGAAAACCTGGTAAATTTCAAGGTTCTTTTTTATCTTAACAAGTTTGCCTGAAGACCAAGTAGTTTATTTCTGTCTTGGTCATTAAATTAATATTGCGACAAAAAGATGTAAAGGTTTTTGCATTATGAAATTTAACAAGTCATTCTAAAGTTCAATTTCATGTACATGTACTTTCCATTGCAAAAGTGGTTGTTCTCTAGATTATATACTGGATGATGTAGGACTTAAAGGGAAAATACAACATTTGCAAACATCAAAAAATAAAACTACCAAATCATTTTGAAATACCTTGCTGGACTGTTAGTGAATGACATTGTAAAGCATCCTGTAAAATCATGGCACCTGGTATACTGTCATTTTCAAGAAAAGTTGTATTTTTGTATCAATTTCCAACGCTGATCGGCCGATCAGCGTTGGAAACAACTGGCTTTTTTTCTCAAATACTGGCCCCAATTGACCATCGCACTTGTTTGCAATCGATTACAAACCTATGAACGGGTACGAGCCAGCTAGACTGGTTCCCTGACCTTACAATTCCCCAATATATGTAAACTGCTCCGTTTCTTCTTATATGGAGTCAGGGAACCAGACTACAGGAAAATGATCGTTTTTCTTGGTTTTTATAGCATTTTCGAACCCAAAACCTCAAAAAAGTTAGTGTAACTATATTTGCTATATATTTCTAACCCCCCAATCCATCCATTTCTGAAAATTACAGCAAAAGCAAATGATGTATATTCCGTTTAAACAATGGCCATTTAATACCAAATATTTTAAGTTGCAATTTCTAAACAAAATTTATGACAACATTACTACATCACTTCAGACTTGCATTCACGTAACATAATCCAACTACCCGACCGAGCACGTTAGACGTATCAACGTTTTGTGACATCATCATGACGGTACAAACTTATGCCCTAATAATACTACCACAGAAATAACATTTGTCATGCTGTGCTTACAAAATATGGCTTAAATATTCAAAAACTTCAAATATTGTCACAAATGACAAGACGCCATTATGAATTCACCATATATGTTACCTATAACATTCGTGTAATACACATGTACCTGCTTAGCAAGCAAGTTTCAACCCTACAGACCAAACAACTCATGACATCATGCTTTGTTTACACGTGTGATTTCCAACGAGAGGTACCGGTAGGTGGGGACACGAGCTAGTCACCAAGCTTCCATAGGAAAGGGCACATGTTAACAAAATGCGACGTCGATTATGCTTAACCTACATGTAACTCCCTAGGGGGTGTGCCATTTCATATTGAAATTGGAGGATTCAGAAACTGTTAGGGCTATGGTCTATTCTCCAGATAAAAACGATGCACTTTTTAATCATGACCAATGATGACATCATGCAACTTGTCATCCACCAACTTTGTCAGTGGGCAGCAAGGAATTGTATTTTGTTGGGACAATTGTTCAGTATAGCGTCACAGCGTAAAAAAAGGTAATTTGACTTAACTTTATGCCAAAACTGCTGGGCTGAATAAATTTTACTTATTTACATAGATTTCAAATCCGGTGTTAAACAGAGTGTTTAAACCTCACATTTATTCCCTTTATTCCCTTATTGAAATCAATGACGTTTGAAAAGACAAAATATGTCATCATGGTGTAATCTGATCTCATGAAAGAAAATCACATCTCTGAGGAAGTCATCATAATTAATATCATCCAACATTTGAGTTATATGTTTACATTAAGTAAGCAACCATGACCTATCAAACCAATTTAAAAGAAATTCAACTTTAAAAAAGTATACAATGACAACATACAAATAATTTGACCTCAATGGTGTCAAAATATGTGTTGCATATGTTATTAGATGTGTTACAACCAGTTTACCTATTTTCAGTTCCACTGGTTTCTCATTGGCCCGTTTGTCCCGAAGTGAACCTGTTGATTCAAGTAAAAAATAGTAATATAAAGTAAGAGCAAACAATGAAGTGTATTTCACAACATGGTGTTTGTCCAAATCAGTGTAACCCTAAAAATTCTCTGTTTTTTTTTTTTTTACCACCTCACAGCTTTGGGATGCCTAGTTGGTGGGTGGGAAATGCTCCTCCAGTGTACAACTTGTACAGACATCCAAAAACAAAACTACCAAATTATCACGAAATAATAAACAGGTCACTTGCCTGAAAGTGAATAAGGGTGTTACTCACCTGATCCAGTGATCACAAAAATTAGACAGGTTAGTGTAACAGTATCATTATAAACCCCAGATTCAAGCTGTATTGCTGACAATACATATACAGCAAAAGCAAATCCTGTAATTTACTTTGAAATGTTGTGTTATTGAGTCAATGGCAGTTGTAAATTCACTGCACATATACTTGTAGAAGGTTCTCAAAACCAACCAACTTGAATTACCTGTGTCGGTTTTCATGTAAAACTTATGTGCAGGAATTTTCCAAAGGCTCTATTATGGATTCCCAATTGCTGCAATGAATTCTTGAATCTGTGTCAACACTTACATGTACATGTACTTACATGTAGTTAGTATCCTAAAAAATATGCTGCCTGCCCTCTGGTCAGTGTCAGGTCACAACTTCTAAAAATAATGTCTACCATTGCCGTCACTTAACAGTTTAACCAAGGTGTAAGACCCAGTCTTTGGACTATGCAGTGCCCTGCTTTAATAATTGATTATTACAATTTGGCACATCAGCATCATTGTGTTTACAAGCATTCTGCTCTGCAAATCAGATTGGAAACTCCTTTGGTTCAAGAGGATCTACCGTACCACGCTGTCACTGTTCTGAATGGCAGTGGCATGGCACTTTTCTAAAATGGCGTGCAATATCTGTCCCAAACTCTTGTCAAGTTGTCATGCTATTATCCCACTTCAGTCGGCGTGACAAAAGCACGACATTTAGACTGGGTAAAAGACTGGGCCATACTGTAGATATTGGTTTCACATACCTGGGCATGATTCAGATTGTCATCAGATTTGACTTGCACGGCCAGTCAATCTGCTCTAATGTTCTTGATTCCTCTGCAGCGATGAGAAAATAGCCAGCACCTTCTCCTGGAACATGAACACAATGAAGTCAATAAACCTCAAAGGTTCACATCACGCTTGGTTTGCATGATAGAACTGCCGGCATGAGAAACTTCTCTATAATACCTTTGTTGTGAATCTGCATCTTTTACATTTAATTGACATTTTTCAGCAACCCAATGTGCTTTTTTCCATGATTTTTTTTTTCAGTAAAGAGAACGCCCTCAGCTTTAACATGATATCCAAAACATAAACAATTCACCTATCACGGGTTTTGTGGGGAAAAAAGGTTTAAGGGCTGCATCAATTGGGGGTCACCCTGTATACTAGTACTAGTCAGAAAGTTTGAGAGTCCCAAAACTTAAGGTATTGAAAACTGGCACCTAAAACAACCAGTCCAACACCGCTTCAGTGCTTCATCAATCAACCATGCTAAAAGAATTTAAGAAACATGAGGTATGAACCGGGAACTAGTCTCAATTTACCTTACATTTCTGCATAGTCAGCCATCAGACTAATGATACTGAATGAAGAGGTCAATCTTTCCAAATAGTTGGACCAAGGTTGTACATGTACCAGTAGCCCCATTTTGAAATCAATCGACTTCCCTCTCATGTGCAAAATATGTGGGAAAAGTCTCCTTTCAAAATTGAATTGAGTCTGCAAACTTGGTTGGTGAAATACTGAGGACCTTTTCTTTTGCCCAATATAATTTTTGGAGAAATTTGTTGGCTAAAGAGTGAGTAAAGTGGGCATGATTTAGTTTTGCACGTTTCAGAGCACTCCAGAGCCCTGTCTGCCTGTATAACATGTCAATAACTGTGCAAACACAAAATCTTACCTGAACTTCTACTTGAGAAACGAAGGGCGAAGTCTGTGTTGTCATCCTCAATTTCCATCTCAGTCAAGTTTGTAGGGTCAGTTGCATCGTCACCTGAAAAAAATACAATAATTATGTCCATACCTTGATAAAGCATAATAAAAATGAATTAAAAAAAATCAGGAGCCTGTAGCTGTAAAATATAACATGCTAAATTTGTACTACACATACATGTACATTGTACACTGGGGGAAAAAGGGAATTTGAGGTTTGTTATTGACATACTCATCCTTTCTTGAATTTACCGTTAATAAAAAGTGTGATCAAATTTCATAATAAAAGTTAGAAATATGTAAGGCAAAGTAAACAAAAAACAAGTTTCTCGTCCCTGCCCGCTTCCTTTTAAGTTTTAGGAGGCCGCCTGGATTTTTAATTATTTTTTATTTTTGAAAAATGCAGTAAAAACACTGAAAAAGTCCACAAATTCATCGGAAAATAAATACTTGCGAAATATGTGAGTCGAAGTTTTCAGTATAGACCAGACCTTTAAGAACTTTCTAGGTGTTGTTTTCAGCAAGCCGAATGTTACAAAGACCACAAAGAATTCTATGGGCTTCAACCGTGCTTATAAATGCCCTCTGTGCAACATGAGCAGCACTCTATTTATCAAGACAATTCCACCGTAGCGAAGGGATCTAACTTCCCTAGTTGCAAGGCTGGAAATCCTCAGAGTGCAAGCCATTCAGCAGGATTTGTTAGCACATCTCCTCAGCAAATCCAACACACAGTGTTGTAAGACTCGAGTCCCGGACTTGGACTCGAGTCGGACTCGAGTCACATTTTTCGTGACTCGGACTCGACTCGAGTCACATTGGAAAATTACTCGGACTCGGACTCGACCATGATGACTCGGACTCGAGCTTGGTGACTCGTGATTCGAGTCACGTATTTTCATCAAACGAAAAAACATAACAATACGTATTTTTGCGACAAACTTAGCATTCTTTTTAACTCCCGTAGACAAAACACGGCGGCCGCGCCACGGAAAATCGTATCCAGGGGCCGCGCGCACGCATAGCGCCTGCAAGAAGAGCACCAGGCCCCGCGTCATGCCAAAAAGTGTTCGGTATCATGGAAGGTGTATTTTGGGGGATGTGAATTAAAAGGAAAATACATTTTGAGTCTAAACAACATGTACACACACAAGGTACGCTGTATACACTGGGATTTACTTTAAAAATTATTTAAAACATTTTGATTAGTTTGGTAAACAACTATAAGAACGAGTGACTCGATCGTGACTCAATCGGACTCGGACTCGAGGCTTGTGACTCGAGACTCGGACTCGGACTCGACGTTGGTGACTCGACTACAACACTGCCAACACGCCTGTAGTAATCTTGAGAGCATGTACAATGTACCATGCCTCGGGTGGCTCGATAAGGGGAATGCAAAATTAAACGTGCTGTAACTCGAGTTTTTACTTCAAAATTTTACAAGGTTTTATAGAGATTCACAGGGTATAGTGGGGTTGAACCTTAACTTTTACCCTTTTTTTTCAATGTTGCATACTTCCGTAAATCGTTCAGCCCCAATGGATCAGAGAGACCAGAGGGATCACCGACACCACCCTCAGCCATAACTACTAGCTAGGCAGATTTGCAATCAAGTGTCACCAGTGAGACGTGATATTTCCCACACTGTTGTAACCCTCACATGTGTTCATTTTTGCCAAACGATCCACGTGGGTACATGCAGGGCCCAAACGATTCGCAGCAGCATGGTGCCCCAGGATACATCATTACTGCATTTGTCATTACAGGATTAGTGAACATGCTGGGCACACTACGCACACACACTCCTGCTCAGGTTCCCAACATTGATATTGTTGTGGAGGTCAGCCTGCCGGGGAGAGATCATGATCCCCACCTGCATGGAGAAGTCCGAGTCTGTAGTATCACGAAGTGTGGAGTTACTCTCCATCTCTGTGTCTTGCCACTTTGGAGCTTTTCAGTTGGTGTATTCCACATCAGATCTCTCTTCAGGCCACACATCTGCCCAGGAAGACGAATATATTTGCTGATGCTCTTTCCAGGAGGTGGAAGTATTCCGACAGAGTAGCCTCTCTATCAACCAATAGTCAGACATCATCCGGCCACGCTACTTGTAGAACATTGTGCAGGCAAGCAATGGGCAGCAATGTCCAACAGACAACTGCATGTTCAGCAGCCCTCTAAGCCCACAAAGCTCCTTCCTCATAGTAGATAGGCAGCTTCATGTTCTTGACGTTTTCTTGTAGGCTTAATATATAGTTTAGACATTTCTTGAATGAAACCGCTGCACGTACCTTCCCTCTAATTCTTGGGCTTTTCGGTGCTACTCTGCAACTATAAATGAGGTGAGTCGTTTTTTGTATAATGGAATCCCCAAAATTTAAAGGGATCGATTTTCGAATCCACAATAAGAAACACCTACCTCTTTAGCCCTGTTTGCCACGACACGGAAAATGTGGTTTGGACAACTTTTCTAGTTGAAATTGTGTGCACTCGTGTTTTTTACATTTTGACATTTTTACAGATTTCTCAAAAAGTACATGTATGGTTATCTATAGGTAATTTTTTTTTAATAAGCTGCTTCAGATTGATTGTATTTCCCTATCATCAAAAATACATTTTTCAAAAGTACAAATTACACTCTTAAATTGTTACGAACTTTCTTTCTTTTTTGATAGCTATCTAACCTAAAATTGTGGTAATTCTTTTTATTGAAAAGTCCGGTGGCGTGATCCTTACCTTATGCATGGTAGCTTCCGCCTTATCCAGGGCGATCGTTATGAGCATGGGTCCACCATAAGGTACGAGTGTAACCCAGGTTATATATTACAAGATCCAGCCGCTGAATATTCCCATTGTAATGACGGAAGATGGAGCCTGGAACCCGTATGCCACCCAGATGATCAAGGTAAGGCAGTTCAAATGCTGAGCTGTAATGCCCTGGCATAATGGTTCCATCAACAACAAACCAAATCAAAAGGAAAGCCTGCATTGCATTCTTATTGTTAACAGTACATAGTTTGTTACTGTACCTCATGATTGAAAGCCGAATTCGCACTGGACCTTTCACCATCACATGCAGCGGCGGCGGAACGGTTTTCAAACTTGGCTTGGGGGGGGGGCATCACGAAAGAGGGGCACTTGCTCTGTAAAAGACATCTTCCGTCGGTAAAGCAGCTAATCCAGCAATATCTTACATTTCCATGTAGGCCTTGTAAATGCTAAAAGGATTATGCTTTAATAGATTTGCCCTTGAGAAATGTCTTGCTTAAGACTGAAAATACCCAGTCAGTTTGCTTAAATCACATACAATGACTTCCCAACAGAAAAGCAAAAACACAAACATTCTTTATGGGATCATAGGCATCTATACATTACATATTCATGTGTAACCTAAAGAAAATAATGACGATGTCAATGAACGTTCCATGTGACCCAGGTAAGTTGATGTTAATAGAGTGGTGTTATGTCATGGAAATTGGCATGGCTGTGGGGCATTTGTGTTTTTTAATTCTACTTTTCTTGTTATATTCCTCGTTCATATCAGAACTCTCTATTGTACCATTTTGGGAAATGGTTACTGAAAACAAAGCCGACATTTTAGGGCCAGTTTTGTTTTCATCATGAGGGGGCACATTTATGCTCAAGGGTTCCTGTTTGCCAAGCGCGCAGATAAGTACGCATACGTAGTAGACTGTCGCATGGGTTGCCTGTGCGACAGTCGACTATGCGCTTTACGAAGCAATCGTGGATCTGTCGCACGGGTGTAGTACGCATGCGTGCACATCGCCCTAGCTAGCTACACATGAACAGATGGTTGCACATGTAAAAGTCAATTACGTGTAGCCTTTTCCCGAGCTCAATGATGCCAAAGTGGAAAATATTTTGGGCAATAAAGATGCCTCCTGTACTAAAAAAAATGTTGTATACAAACAACTGTACAACCCTAGTTATTGTATTGCAAACAAACTGAACTTTTTTGAGGTTGAGCAATAATATTCTTCTGGCGAGCTGGACAAGTTTCACCGGAGATTTTTTTTGCCCGCGAGGTGCATACTGCAACATAAAGATTCGGCTGAATATGTATGAGGTATAGTCAAAAAAATATAACATGGTTTATTTTGGATGGACATTAGATATTAGCTCCCCTCGGTATTTAGTTTGACAACTTCCGATGCTTCGGGGAGCGAATATCGACTGTACGCCATCAAACCATGTCATATTTGTGTAATGTTTTACAAGTAATCCAGTGGAAATACCTATTGTCTAAATGTCTATTACCTAGACATGGGCTACAAATTAGAAAGAATAGAAAAAACGGGAAAAGGCACAGTAGGAGAAGGTATCTGTTCATCACACTTTCTTTAAATAGTTAAAGATAATAGTAGAAGGGAAGCAAGATTCAGGAAGGAAATTCAAAAGGTGGCAGGAAACTCCCAAAATTGAGAGAGATTCTGAGGTAAATCCATGGAATCAGGATGGAACTGATTAACATGTTGATTTCATTTGTCTGATTTATGTTTTCAGTAACCGAACCACCCGTGGCAGCTACCACATGTCCCACACCATCAGTCCCCAATGCCCTCATCTACCACCGTGGCCAAAACATTGCCACAGCAGGCTTTGAAATCATCTTTGGTAATCGTGATGAGATTGAGGTTCGATGTAATACAGACTTCACAGTCAATGGCAGGGAGGCAGTGACTGCTACTTGTTGGAATGGAGCCTGGACGCCTGCACTACCACGTTGCGGTTAGATAAATTGTCTTATGTCTTTCTTGGTCATTTAAATACCACATTAAAAAAAAATGAATTACCTCATGACTTTGGAGTTAAGGCGCTAGTTATTTTCATTTTCTTCTGTTTACTGTCATCTCGATAGTTAGAAAATATCAGATGACACTGTTAATTGGTTAAAGAAATGTTGACGTTTTGCTTTGTCAACTACCCAAACGGTTTAATTTAAGTAAATATTGTCGTAAAGTTTTATTCATAATATTTTAGTTTTCCTTTAGGCCAAAAAAAAAAGTCTCCGGTTTCTGGTATGGAGCTTGTCCGAAAAGTGGTGCAGCGACGCG